CCACTCTTCCAATGTCAGCGGGCAGAGGGTGAGGCACGGGCCAGCGCGGGCCCGCCACCGCCGGCCAAGGAGGACTTTCTGGGCGAGACTGTGCAAAGCCGCCTCCATGGGCCTGGCGGTGGAAGCGCTCAAGGCACCCGCTGGCGGTGGCGGCGGTGACCTGCTCCCGGCCCGCGGCGACTGCATCTTCGCGCACCCGCGGCCCCTGCCGCTGGCCACCTGCAAGATCGTTGAGGGCGAGGTGGCGGCGGGGGAGGAGGCGGAGGGCGGCCGGGCCGGCGGAAGTGGAGACGCTGTCCCTGGACGTGCCCGGCCCACTGAGCCTTTACAAGGGCTCGCCCGAGCTGGATGAGCCGGCTGCATCAAGCTGGAGAGCCCGCTCAAATACACGGCGGCGGCCAGCGGCGTCTGGGGTGTGCAGTGCCGGCGACTGGCGGAGGTGCCCGCGCTGGCGCCCCACTACGGCAGCCCGCCCTAGCACCCCTTCTTTGCCGACGAGGGGCAGCTCTACGGACCCTGCCTCGCTGGCGAGGGCACTGGCCCCTTCGCCTACGGCGGGAGCTCCAGGCCGGCGGGACAGGAAGGCGGCGACCTCCCAGCCGAAGTCTGGTACCCGGGCAGCGTGGTGGGCAGCAGCCGTCTCATGGGGCCGGAGCACGGGGCGGTGGGGCTGGCTGCTGGGAGCAGGGGGCGGGGCTTCGTCATGTGACCGCCCCACCCCCTGGGCTGGTCACTCCCGGAGCGGGGCTCCGGAGAGCTCCGGACCCATGAGAGGGCTGCTTGGGTGTCATTAAATGTGTCAAAGGTTAGTGTGACGCCAGCCACTAGGCCAGGCCAACCTACACGTTAGGGAGTCCTCCAGGACTTGGAGGGGCACCTCACCCCCCCCCACAATACTCTTTCCTCTTTTCCTCCTGTTGGCATCCCCCGTATCCTCTCCCCTTTTCCTGCCTCATTCTCTTCTCAGCCTTTCACCAACTTACCAGTTATCATCTCCCCATCTTGTGCTATATTTGTTTATTTACTTCCTTTATACCCTGCCTTTCCCCTCAGTCGGGACCCAAGAAACATGCAGCATTCTGTTCTGCTCCTGTTTAGCCTCACAGCGACCCTGTGAGGTAGGACAGGCTGAAAGTATGTGACTGGCCCAGATTCAGCCAGTGGGCTTCCACTGTGAGAGGGGAATTTGAACCTGGCTCTCTGAGACCCTACTCCTATGCTCTAAGTGATAAGCCACACTGGCTTCCATACGGTGGCTGCTGTCGATCGGGATCAAGCAGCCAGTCCTGGTGAAACTGCAACTAATCCCTGAAATGATGGAGGTGATGTTGGTTGGGAAGGTGGGGATCTTGAAGCTCAGTGTGTTCCTCACTTCTGATGGTGTTCAGCTGACTCTAGTTAAGAGACTTGGGGTCATGTACAAGATCCAGCGTTATTGCTGCAGAAGCAAGTTCACGCAGCTGCAAATGATGCTTCCTCCAAACTCGGCCCGGCCCAGAAGATGGCTGCTTACCTTGATCCGGCTGCTCTGTGGCCACCTGGATCGATGCCACGGTGTCATCCAGAATAGACTATTGTAACGCGCTGTCCGTAGATTCAGGTGGGTTGCCGTGTTC